CTCCCATACCGATCACTTCCCCTCCCCATCCAGACCTCTCCCTCCTTTCCCGTATCCCGACTTCCATCCCTCCCTCCTCCCGACTCCCATCCCGACCTCTCCCCCTCCTCATCCCGACCATATCCCGACTTCCATCCCGATCTCTCCCCCTTCCCATCCATCGCCTCCGATCTCCTCTATCCGTCCATCGCGACCTTTCTCCTCCCGACTCCCATCCCGACCTCTCTCCCCCCTTTCCTTCCTTCGCTTACTTCTCTCTCCATTCCCGACTCCCATCCCGACCTCTCCCGATTCCCATCCCGACCTCTCCCGATTCCCATCCCGACCTCTCCCGATTCCCATCCCGACTTCTCCCTCCTTCCCTTCCTTCGTTGACCTCTCCCTCCATCGCCTCTCCCTCTCCCCTTCCTGATTCCCATGCCGACCTCTCCCCCTCCCCATCCCGTCCTCTCCCCCCTTTCCTTCCCCCTTGTCTATCCCGACTCCCATCCCGACCTCTCCCCCTTGCTATCCATCGCCTCCGACCTTCCATATCCGCCCATCCCGACCTTTCTCCTCCCGACTCCCATCCCGACCTCTCCCCTCCCCATCCCGACCTCTCCCCTCTTTCCTTCCTTCGCTTACTTCTCCCTACCTCTCCCAACTCCCATCCCAACTTCTTCCTCCTTCCCTTCATTCGTCGACCTCTTCCTCCTTCTCCCCTTTCCTTCTTTCCTGCCCTCCACCTCTATCCCGACTCCGATCCCAACGTCTCCCCCCCGCTAGATCCCTTCCCCCTCCCCCTCCCTCATCACGACTTCTCCCAACTCCCATCCCGATTTCTCCCTCCTTTCCTTCCTTCGCCGACCACTCCCTTCATCGCCTCTCTCTCTGTCCTATCCCAACCCCCTCCTCCCCTCCTCCTCTATCCCGATTCCCATCCCAACGTCTCCCCGCTTCCCCTATCCCGACCCCTCCATCCATAGATCCCTTGTCCCTCCTCCTCCTTTCCGACGTCGTTCCCCTTCCCGACTCCCATCCCGACCTCTCCCCCTCCCCATCCCGTCCTCTCCCCCCTCTCTTTCCTTTGCCTACCTCTCCCTCCATCACCTCTCTCTCTCTACCGTATCCCGACTCACATCCCGACCTCCCTTTCTTCGCCGACCTTTCCCTTCATCGCCTCTCCCCCCTCCTCTATCCCGACATGGTCCCAACTTATCTCCCATCCCGACCTCTCCCTTCTGAATGGTCCCAACTTATCTCCCATCCCGACCTCTCCCTCCTCCCCTTCCGTCGCCGACCTTCCCTATCCCTCCTTCGCCCTTCTCTATCCCGACTCCCATCCCGACCTCTCCCCCTTCCCATCCATCGCCTCCGACCTCCCCTATCCCTCCATCCCGACCTTTCTCCTCCCGACTCCCATCCCGACCTCTACCCCTCCCCATCCCGACCTCTCCCCCCTTTCCTTCCTTCGCTTACTTCTCCCTCCATCCCTGACTCCCATCCCGACCTCTCCCGACTTTCATCCTGACTTCTCCCTCCTTCCCTTCCTTCGTCGACCTCTCCCTCTCCCCCTTCCCATCCATCGCCTCCGACCTCCCCTATCCTTCCATCCCGACCTTTCCCCCCTCCCCTTCCTTCCCGCTAGATCCCTTCTCCCTCTCCCTCCCGACTCCCGACTCCCATCCCGACCTCTCCCCCTCCCCATCCCGACCTCTCCCCTCTTTCCTTCCTTCGCTTACTTCTCCCTCCATCCCTGACTCCCATCCCGACCTCTCGCGATTTCCATCCCGACTTCTCCCTCCTCAACCCTCCCGGCGTGCTCCCAACGTGTCTCGCCAACCCCCCCATCCCTCCTTTCCCCTTCTCTCCCATCCCTACCTCTCTCCCTTCCCGTCCATCGCTTCCGACCTCCCCTATCCCTCCTCCCTCCTCTATCCCGACTTCCCTCCTCTTCCTTTCCGCTAGGTCCCTCCTCCCCCCTTCTCCTTTCCCCCGCAAAAAA